ATTAAGGCCATAAGGAGCCATTGAGCTTGACTCTCAGTAAGCCACTCCACGCACTAAGACACACGCGGGACTGAATGCGGTGTCCAAGTTATACCGTCAGTTGGCAAACCTCCAAGCCACGACTTTTAGCGTACCGCGATAGCTTCAAGCGCATCAGGTTGATTATAGGAAGGTAAGAAATGCGCTGAAAGTTGACCTCATTCTCTCCCACCACCACTAGCAACAGGTCACCGCCAAGCTGATCGGTCGCCTGAGCTGGGATGGGCGGACTTGAGTGCGGACAATCAAGCAATCATCGCGTAATCTACGATCTCCACCAAAGAACGCGACCGCTGGTAATTATTTCGGACATGGGGTGGTCTGGCTACTGTGTCCTATAAATACTGCGCTCTCTGCGCCCCTATATTTACCGGTCTCTGATGGTAGATTCGAGTGAGAATCCGAAAGGTCTGGCCAGCAAACATCTTATTCCAGCGGCCGCATCTTCTTCTAGACTGGTTGTCCTTGGCGGTCGCGGCACACAGCACTACTCGGTCACCGTGAGATAAGCAAATATAACGGCAATGGCCCTGTCCGCAACACGTTCTCCGTCCGTCTAGCGCCTTTTAGCCTCCAATTCGAAAGCATGCGACCCGAATACACCCTCGTTCTCGCCACTGGTACCTGGCAGAATACATCGCAGTTAGGAAGCTTGATGTGTTTCTGCGGCACTGACTGCTGAATCGATCGTCTTCTTGTCATCTGCAAGACGAAACTCAATCTGCATCGACACAGACAACTGAAAGCTAACAGCAGAGGAATTACTTACTGTATTACTTGATACAGGTGAACGTCGATTGAGGCTAGCAGCGGCATGAGGTCCAAACTGGAATCAGTGAAAATTTCGGAGACGCATATCAGGCATGAAAGCCAGTTATGCTAGCTGTGGCATACCACCCGCATCAGAGTACTGGTAGCATTTGTGCCGTGCATGTTGACAGCATCATGTTTGATGACAACGAAAAATAAACCCGCAGTCTGCCCGTCAAGAAACCCAGCCCAGACACGCCCTACAACATCAAGAGCACCAGTGTCACCAAGGCCCTGCAATTCCCATGCCAACGGCTAGTAAAAAAGAGAATGAGGACGATGCAGAATGACTTCATCACCATCAGCTTCGTCACCGACGACGAGAGTTGGTGCATCGTTTGAGACGATGCTTGCCGTGCTACGTCCAACAAAGTGATTGCTGAAATGGCATTTTGGTCGTGTATTAATTTCTAGCGGTATTAGACTTCAGATGCAACTACTGCACTCGCTCCC